TACAAGAAAGTACTACATTTTTAATGTTCTTAAGTATTAAAGGCAAAACAAACAACTTTTATTTATGAAATGTAGTGCAGTAAAAAGTATGACATTATGCTTTGGAATGTAGTGAAGTAAAGTTTTCCAAAGAAAAACACTGATAAACTACAGATACTTTTAAAATTTACTTTAGTAAAGTAAAAATTCTTCACTACTGTCAATAATTGACAAAAATAATTTGTCAATTATTTTACTCAATGGTATGTCAGATATGTTGTGTGTGGGTCTGTTGATGGCAGACAGTGATCCCAGCAAACGGGACGTCCCACGGACGTTCCGAACGTCCTTTTAGGTCCGCAGTACGTCCGCTTTGTAACGTTAGTGGCTGGACGTTCCGAGGACGTCCGCATTTGGTCCTCTTTTTGATGTTTGCTGATGGACATTTGGAGGACATTCGTCAGAGCCAGTTTGCGAACGTCCCGGTTTCGTCCCTCATCTGCCATTTCCATTACAACACTTGAAAAATCCAGTCGCCCATGCGTGGGCTTTTATCATCAGACCTGACCAGTGTTGGGGAGTAAGTTATATGTAACTACATTACGCAATTTAATTAAAAAATAAATGTAACTGTAATCTGTTACAGTTACTGAGAAAAAAAGTGTAATTAAATTACAGTTAGTTATGAAAATGTTAATGATTACAAAGGGAGTTACATCTGAATATTTTCACACACATACAGTTTTTAAAATATGAGACACCAATGTTTCAGGAGTTGAGGACACAGAATAGGACACGTGCTTATTCGTTTTAGCAGATAAAGGCTGTTAGCTCAGCTTAGTTTTGTGATTGTTTGTCTCTCCATTTAGAGTCAGAGGAGATCAAACTGTTCAGATCCATCATGAGTGAAACACAAACATCTGGAGATGAAGATTTGTTTCCAGCACGCAGGTACTTTGAGTAACACATTAAATAACTTATGTTATAGAAGAGATGGCTGTAGATAAAGCCATAAAGCCCCCATAAGAGCTTTCCATTAGTAATACTTTATGAAGATTTTATATTAAGATGATTCTCATTATAATGGATTAAATCTGTTCTGTTTTAGCTCAGTTCATCAGAAGAGATCAGAAGCAGAGCCCAGCT